GTTAAACAACACACAACAATGACAAAGACAAACCCACAAAGACATAACAAAATGATAGTGAATCTATTCAAGTTAAATGCATTCAAGGAAACACCTGGAAAGGCGCCACTCTGAATCTAGCCCATTTCCCACAAGAGCTGTGTTGAAAAGAATGCCACTCATGGTGCCACACCATGCCCGCTCCATCACTCAGACCTTCAAGACCCCCAAGAGGTGCTGCGTGCAAAAGTCTTTCCTATGAAGTTTTCCCACAATTTCCTTTTCCTGTTTTTAAAGAGCTCTCCTCTGAATAAGTTCTCTCATTTACATTCTGAGACAGGCCAAGGATCAAAAGACCTACGTTTCAAAAACAACTCCAATCCTAAACCAGCTACTTGCTAGAAGATAATATATTTTATTTGCTACGGGGGAAAAAGTTTACTCAAGTTTCAGCTGAGAGACTTCCTTAAAAAGACAAACATTTCACAGTCAATGGCCTCTCCATTCTTAACTACTGTGTGCCTGTCAATGTTACTCCAGCCAGGAGCTCCCCTTCTTTTGTCCCTAGTATGTCCATACACACGTAGTAATCAAGTAGTTCTATTACCTCTCTATTTTTGTGCTAATGGGGAGCAGCATGCCACAAGTAGACCCAGTTAATGTTGTTCCGCAATAGTGAGGCTGCGGCTCCCACCAAGAGCATATAGTACCAATCTCTACTCCATCATCCAGGCAACTGTTCTTCCTACAGCCAAATCCATAGGCTTCCCCACTCCTGGAATGCTCTCCTCCAGAGGGACTTCCCAACACCCTTTCATGTATGCATAACACTGGAATTGCTCAGCTCGGCCAGGGAGGAGCACGGAGCCCCAGTCGGGTCACCCGGCACTGGTACACTTCCACAGGGCTGCTCAGAGCTCTCCCGTTCACCATGCCCCAGACTGCCCCTCATTGGCCCTGAACCATCAAGGACTCCTCTAGATATTCCAGGAAGAAACCTGGGTATCATTCTGAATGCCTCCTGCTCATCCGCAGTCACTTTCGGTCATCACCAAGTCCCCACAATTGTTTCTCATGGAGTTACTGTGCCACCCTCCTTGGTCCCCATTCTCAATGCCACTTGACTTGACCCAGCGTCACTTTCCTCTGCTGCTGAAAAATCCTGCACCTGTCCAATGGCTTTCGAGCCCAGAGACCCCTCTCCTTTACTTTCCATTCCGCTGTGCAGGAGGTTCCATTTCCTAATACGCAAATCTAGGCAGGTGGTTCAAGTGAAGAAATTCCTGTGGCAGCTTCAGAATAAAAGGCCCAAGGCACAATCCTTTTCAAGGCGAAGGCCCAGCTCCTCCTCCGCCTTAGCCATAGATTGTGCCTGCCTCACACAAGTTCTCAGTGCTGTTCCCTCAGCACAGAATACCTTCGATACTGGTGACCTGTAACCACGCTTCGAGGCTTAGCTACAGACCTCACCTCTTCTAGAGACCTCTGTCCTGTTGGAATTAGGGCCGGTCTTGATGCTTGCCTCAAGTGCAGACAAATGTCTAAGAGATTGTACTTCCCCAGCAGTGTCCCCTCGTCAGGCATCTGGTGTTAACGTGAGTCTCCCCAGAGTTCAATGGCTTCAATCAGGACAAAAACAAATCAGGGATTTTCCCCCTATACCAAAACCACACCGGGAGCCTGGCCCCTCTGGTAAACCTCTGGATGTTGGGTTCATCATCAGAGAATGTATCATGCTACCTTGAGGGGTAGATACGTTCCTTCTGCTACCAGGCTGCCTTCTTTCTAGGAAAGAAATAATTTAGTCATATGAGACTTTCTTCTCTCTCTCCCACCTGAGATAAGAGTACATTCAGTTCATCTGTTCCCTGGAAATGAGGGATCTTATAACTGAGTACCAACTCAGAATCAAGAGTCTCTCTCCTGGGGTAAGTCACAGTGAAGCCTTTGAAAAGAACACAGAGACCAGAGTTTAAAACACAGGCAGCGTAGCTAGTCCAAACATTTCTAAGTGGCCGCCTCCTGAGGGATTGGTAACAGGAAAATTTCATATCCCAGCTCAGGTTACTGCTTGAGGATTCAAGTGAAGTACTCAATCCCATGCATGGCTTGCCTTTAGCCCTAGGCCCTACGTGTTCCATACAGCAAAACCACCAGGACAAGTGTTTACTAGAAGAAGCAAAGCACGGAGACTCAGGAGGAAGCAATTAATCCTGAGGGCTTATTCTGCATGCTTGACCCAAGAGGCCCATTCCTAAGGGAGGATAGCAGCCAAGCTGGCTCTTCTGTCCACATGAGAAGGTAGGCAAGAACAAACCCAGGACTTCATCCATGCACACCGCTTGGCTAGAAAGATGAATGCAATTATGGTGGCTTTTACTGTTTTCCCAAGATGTGAAGCGAGGGTGATATGTGTTCCCAGAGGATACGGGAACTCTTCCAAACTCTACTCCAGCTTCCTTGTTCTTGCAGACCAGACATTTGAAAATTAGAAAAGCAGCTGTTTGGTGAAGGCCCCGAGTGTCTCTGCCCCTGCCAAGGGACCCAAGGCACAGGACAGCAAGCATGGGGTTCCACTTTAAGAGCTGGATCTTCTCAGACATACATCAGTCAACCCTATAGTACACTACTCAGAAAATGAGAATTCATTTGGAAATTTACATGATTATCTGCTCTTAGGCCTGGAGACCAAATGACAAACCCTTGGGATGGGCATATTAAGGGTTGATTCCTAGAGGCAACTTTAAGAGGCCATGTTGAGTAATCTTCGTGTAGAGTTCTTGGTGGCCACCTCACAACAGGGCTGGGTGAGGAACATTTGTGCTCAACAAATACCAGCCCTATGCCACATCAGAATGTGTTTGGGGGTTTGGACATTTCTACTACCTGACATTGTCAACTGAATTGAAAATGCATTTTTCCCTACTAATAGAATTCGTCAGTGTTCCTTCTCTTGAATTTTTCCCCTGTTACTGGCTAGTGTCCTTATACATTGATTTCTCCATCTACTTTCTTTAAGAAAGCAGGCAGAAACACATGGAGGGAGTCCTTTGTTCCAACCAGTCACCAAAGAGCTTCTTTCTCATTGATACCTATGTTCTCACAATGAAAATCTTGGCTATGGCATTTTGTCTGTGTGATTCTGTGACTAACTAAGCTTTGAAAAGACAATTCTTACTAATTCTAGAGAAAGGAGTCAAGAGAACAGCTTATCTACAGGTGCCCATTGGGTTCTGGGAAGTGTCTGACTTTTATCCAGAGAACAAAATCTTTCCCCCTCCTCCCACAATAAAAAACCAAGCAAATGTGATATTCATTCAATTTTCCCTTTTGCTCATGTTTCTTTAAAAATAAGTACGTGATCTCTAGTTACTTCTTACCTTAGAAGCCCGCAAACACACATTTTCCCACTTTGGGACAATGTATGTATAAGCCCTCCAAACAAATGAAGAAATAACAAGAAAGAAAGAAAATAAAGTAAAAGGAATGACTAAACATGGTCAGACACCAGACAGTGAAGTCAGCATTCTTCCAAGCACATGGCCTATTCTTGAGTCCACCATGTTGGTCAACATGCAATCAATGCTCCTCTGAGTTACCAGTGGGGCGCTGTCCTGGAATCAGGATGTTCAGACACTGAACTTCACCTGCACATAGCATCACTTGGGAATGGGCTTTGCCCATTCGTCAACACTATGATGCAGTACCCTAAGCCCTGTGGAAGAGGGTTATACACCCTGTATGCCAAAATGACCCAATGCATTAGCTGTTCTTAAAGACCCATTTGCATCCCCAGAGGAAAATTTGAAGACACACGTGTCTGAATTTCACGGGTCTCTCATCACATGACCATCGTGGGAAGGGGCTGGGATAGGGAGACATCTCCAGAAACCACTGAGAGGAAGACTGGAGATCAGCCTCACTCCCTAAGTTGATGGGCTCCACTTTGCAGCCTAGCTCTCTCTTATATCTGGCACTTGAGATGAGAAGATAAGGACATACTCTCTGTGCTAGGTTCCCATGTTGGGAGGGATGAGGTCCAGAGCCTCCTCAGTTACAAGGGGAGGATTAGTAACAGCAAACATCAGGAGTTGGATTACCAGCAGCATGGAGGCTCCTCTCAGAAGCCTGCCTGGCTGTTGTCTTACTAGCTAACATTGTTATCAGCATGTCTCTGATGAGTATCTTTCCCTAAGGACTTCTATCCCTCCAACAACTGGTGTCTAAAAATACAGAATGCATGCATCCTCTGTGAAGCCATCAGCAGTAATTTGGAAATCTCTGTCTCCCAGGGAGGATCTGTAGGAGAGAGTACATTGACAGCCGATGTAAGAACATTTATTTAGGCTGCATAATAACCCTTTATCATCAATATGCAAATCTACTGTCAGGCTTAAAACACTGAAGGTTTTCATGTCCCTGAAGCAGATGCAGAGAAAGGGTCTTTAAGGTTCTTTGGCCATCAAACAGAAAGGGGGTAATAAAAAGAAATATTAATACAGTCCTTCATTGAGAGAAAGTATAGATATAAAAGATCAACAGTTTGTTTTTTCTCTGAATTAGTGACAGGTCCCTGGCCACAGCAAAGCAGAGGGTGGAGGAGCTTGGCATCTTCTCAGATGACTCTATCGAGGGTAGCAGGACCCCCATTGTCCAAGAGTTCATGCAAAGAAAAGAGGATGTTGACCTTCCTTGCTCTGGCTTCTGGGTGGGGTAAATGACCATCGATCGCTGATCAAGGATCAGAAGTAGTAAACTTAAGGACTGTGTATAAATGGCAGCTTCAGAACACTTTCAGAACCTGCTCTTGGCATTGTCCCAAAAGCCTGCCTGGGACAGCTAACATCATCACCTGGGAAGAGGCTCCAAGCCCTGTCCTCCAGGGCCAGTTCTGGAAGATGGGGCTCAAACGCACAAGCCTAAGCGAGGAGCTGGGCTCCATCTCTCTTATTGACCACCTGTCTTTCCCCTTGGACTCCAAGTCAAGGGAGGGCCTCTTGGTTCCTCACGTGGTCACTCACCTTTCATACCACTACCTTCTTCTTGGAATGTGTTACGAGCAGTGGTCTGGTCTTCTAAGGGTTCACTCCCACCACTTCCTGAAGAGGCTACACTGCTTTGTGGAGACAGGGGGGCATGATCGGATGGGAGGCACTGGGGTCCTCTAGCTCGTAAGTCCTCATGAGACATCCATCCATGTCCTAGAGGCTGGTTTGGCACATTCATGGGTGGGGTAAGGGAAACAGATCGTTTCAAAGGGCTGTGGTGTGCCTGGCCTGAGAGAACTGGAAAAAAAAATAAAATGAAATAGGTTATTCTCCCCATGTTAGCCTGGGACGCAGAATAACCCACAATACCTTTGCACCCTCAGAGAGACCGTGGCTAACTCTTACACACCACTGATGGTCACAGTGGGTTAAATTAGGTCTGGGACTGTCCTTCCTTCTGGTGGCTAAAAAGGAGGATGTCTGGACCTGTTTGTGGGCTAGGTTGAACCCTGGAGCCCAAACTTATGCTCCTCACACACCCAATCTTCATGTTTGTGAGTTTGAATCTGATTTTATTTTAAACTTACAAATCAGACTTTGGAGCAGCTGGGCAAAACTGACAGTCTGGAAGTGGCCATCCAACCAAAGTGAACAGAGCATGTGTTTGACAATATTTTTTAAAGAGCAAGAATGATATTCCCCACATCGGTATGGAGGACTTGAAGGGTAGGCAGGCTGGTCACCATTTGGGATCATTGTAGGGCTCATCTGATGCCTGAACTAGTTATTCTAAACAGGAGTTAAGGAACTGTCACTTTTGAGTGGTGGGAGGAGCTCAAGGATGGAACCCAGCACTGACATGACCTCAGGGTATGGGACGCTGGCAGTCTTGCTGAAAGACTAATTCTTTCCCTTGCCCTTAGGGTTCATGTCAAACTTTATCTGGCAAACACCTTCAGGTAAACAAGGCTTTCATTCAGAACTCAGCAAGGCACTCCCACTAAGCTTGCTCAGTCCTTCCACACAGTGGTCAACATCTGCATAGATCCTTTTTTTCATTTTCCAGAAAACTAGGAAAAAGCAACAAAATGCACATAACTGGCCAAATTAAATTGAAGGCACTCAAAGGAGGGATTTAAGCAACATCAATGCTGAGGGAGCCGATGTTACCCTTGGTTGGTTTTGCTGGGTGTGTAAAGTGACTTTACAAAATAAGTCTATTCATAACTTTTCTCTCAGTCTATTTTGATTGCTGCTGTATTAATGTGGAACCAAGCCACGAGCATTTTAAAACATTTTCCAGGGAAGCTGTTGATTCCATCTCTAGCTCTAACCCCTCCAGTGAGGCATTTGCTGCTCCTAGTTTCAGCCATATATTTCTTTGGTGTTTTTCAGTGGGTAGACCAGATGGCTCAAATAGTGGAAGGCACTGCCTTTAGATTGAAGATGGATATTATCTACATAAAGACCAGATCAGGTGATTACCATGACCTCACCTACAAAATAAAGACCAGAGCCAAAAGACAGAGTGCTGCCAAAAAGCATGTCTGGTATGATGGTTAGCTGGCAACACTCTAAGCCTTAGAGTCTAAGGGCAACAAGGCTCAATACTTTTGGGGTCAATGTTTCTACTTGCCTTGTATATGAAGTGAGACAATCAGAAGTACTAAAAACTTCTTTAGTAATAAAAAGTGTGGTTGGGAGAGCTTCTGAGTTCAACATTTGTAATCTATGCATTTTCACTAGATTAAAGAACGAACTATTTAAAAAGACTTCTTGGGAAAATGCTTTGCTTCCTAATTTAAGTAAAACTAGAAATAAAAAATAAGGTAAATAAATAAATAGAAAACAGCAACAAAAATGAAGAGACAAATGAATAGAAAGAAAAACTAGACAGCCAGAAAATTCATTTCATGCCTATCTAAGCATTTATATAAAACTGGAGAGACTTGTCTGGAGCCTCCCTGAGTGCTGGAACATTCTGGCTCAGTTCTGAGTTTTTGTATTTCTGGAGGAGACTTCCAATGGTGCTAGCCAGGTATGAACACATTTCCACCTGGGTCCCCCTCCACACAGCTGGGATTCAAGTGAGTGGGATCAGCCAGAGCAGACGGGACCTGTGATAGCCACGATGTTTAGATGCAACAAGAGAACTGAGAAACAATTCACATCCATGCCTCACGGTTCATGGCTGCTGTTAGTAAGATATGCCATTTATTTATTGTGTGTGTGTGTGTGTGTGTGTGTGTGTGTGTGTGTGAGTGTGTGTGAATGCACCACAGTATGTGTGTGGAGGGGGGTAGGAGGACAACTGTGGGAGTTGGTTCTCTCCTTCTTCCCTGTGTGTGCAGGGATTGAACTCAGGTTTGGCAGCAAGTGCCCTTACCCTCTGAGCCATCTCTCAGCCCCTCATTTCGATTCGGATGTTTAGAATAGTAAGATGCATATGTAGTAGCTGAATTACATTACTGAATTACATTATTGGGGCCACTTTGTTTTCTTGTACCTAAAATCTTCTCAGAATCCATGCTGTCTCTCATTCCTGGTGGAACAGCACAGTGGAAGCTGCCAGTGTCCTGGAATGCCAGCAGAGACTGGGATTGGAGGAAGAGGGTTTCCTCCCTGAATCGACCTAGAGGGATTTACACAGACACTTATACAACCGTTTTTGTTTTCCTGAGCTTAAGAGAAGTCAGAGGGAAAGGGCATGAACTTGGCCTTTGCTTTTGTCTAATAGGTCAACTGTAGTTAAGATCCAGGGCCTTTTCATCAAAGGTCACCTCTTCTCCATCATAGAGGGAACCCTCTGCTTCCTAGGGCTTCCCACATTCGGTTCTCTCTGAAACCATCCTGCTGGGGCAGCCAAGCATAGAGCCTTACACAAAATCTTCCGCTATTCAGAGAATGGGGGGGGGTGTTTAACAGCTGGGCTGAACATCATCCTAAACCAAAGGAAGGCTGTGCAGGGCAAATGCTCTCCTCTTCTCAGAAAAACTGAGCAGGTGGACAGTGTAGCCCTGTTTCCTCACTCTTGTTTTTTTTTAAGATTTATTTACTTTTATTTTACCTGTATGTCTGTGTGCCACTTGTGTGCCTGAGGATGGTGAGAGGTGGCCTGAAGATGCTGTCAGACCCCCAGGAACTAGAGCTACCGGCTATTGTGAGCTGCCTAATGTGGTTGCTGGGACCCGAACCTGGGTTCCCTGTAAGAGCCGCACACGCTCTCCACCACATCTCCAGCCCTCAATCTCATGTGGAGGAGACTGAAGACAATGGTCGATGTCTTTGAGGTTAGGACAAACCTGTAGGTTTGGTGATGTTCGGTGTTAGATCTTATTCTGGAGTAAGTTGGCCTAAGGTGGCAGAGCAGGGAATGGGTACAGACATTACTGTAGTGCACAGCTGTGGGATCAATCTGAAGTGACCGGGACCCACCATCAGCAGCGGTCCTATAGGTACAATTATTTTAATAACTCACCCGAAGCAGCAACCCAGAGGAGAGAAGAAATGGGCATTTAGGGGGGAAAATAATGGAAAAAAAAGTCTGTCTGTTTTCCTGCAAGTCAGGATGGGAGAGCAGTCAAACCAGATACCTGAGAAGTTTCTCGGCCTGGCTGGTGGTAGCTGCCTCAGAATGACTCGGGCACAGGCTCTTGAACGCACTTGTTTATTGACTGCTGTGCAGTAGCCAGTGACTAAGGACTGCTTCAGAGGGCTGTCCCAGAGTCGTGTCCAAGTGCTGCAGACCCAAGTGCGCCTTGACGAAACCCCCATGGGGATCAGGAATGGGTAAATGCTGTTAGAGCTGAGGCCTGAATTTCTGCTGCATTTGTTACTTTTACAGCCGTGTGCTCCGGGATGGTTTCGTTCTATGAAAACTCACAGGGAAGCACGGCTGGGACTCCTTTGTATCCCCGAAATGAAACCTCATGATTGTACATAGTACGGATCCAACTCTGCTTATAGTTTTAGAACTCTCTACAGGAAATTTCAGGTCTGCACTTGTCTGTATGTGTAGCTTTCCACACTCATGCCATTGGGACGTCACAACCTGCAGAGTCTTTATCAATTCGAGTGACCTGAAAGTAAGCAGGACGTGTTGAGTATGTCTATTTGAAATATGCAAAGAGAGAAGCAGCTAAAAACAGTCCTGCCACGCAGCAGCCAGGCAGCACGGAAGTACCTAGGGTGTTGACCTCACGGTAAGCTCCATTCGCCACTTGGGGCCAGCCAGTTTCTCTGGCCTCTTCTTACCTCATGATTTCGTTCTCATCTCCCACAATCTTTGATGGGACCCCTCTCAACACCTTGGGAAGGAAATATATGGCAGCTGTCCTTGGGGTCGGTTCTAAGCATTTTCCCAAAAGCCTAGAATTCAACATTTTCTTTAACCAACTTTGAGTTTGCCTTCACCTTGAATTATTGAGACAAAATTCAGGCAGAAAAAAAAATCATATTATTTAGGACTCTTTGGAGACTACTAAATAAAACTATGGTTTCTGCCTTCCAGAGAAATAAGAAGGTTTGTAGGGGAAAGGAAGGTGTAGGACACTGGACCTACGCTCTCTCTCTCTCTCTCTCTCTCTCTCTCTCTCTCTCTCTCTCTCTCTCTCTCTCTCTCTCTCTCTCTTTGGGTATTACAAGACAGGGTTTCTCTGTATTGTTTTAGAAGCTGTCGGTCCAGCCTGGCCTGGAACTCACAGAGATCCACCTGCCTCTGCCTCCCGAGTGCTGGGATTAAAGGTGTGCGCCACCACTGCCCGGCTTGGACCTACTGTCTCTTTGGTTCACGGTCAGATGGAGTCTTCTATGAGGGACAGACGCTAACAGTGCAACTCGAACAATAAAACTCTCCTGATGTTGACACAGGCCTTTCATTGTGGACCACACGTATCAGCTCTTTCTTATTTTGTGATTTGTAATTTAAAAAAAAAACTTTATGAGGACAGACTCCTAACACTTGACAGGGAGAGGCCTCTGAGAAAACAACATCACTTAATAATTTCTAATTGAGAGCTGCGAGGCCCTGAGTAGACCTTTGACACACCAGGCTCCGTCAGGGGATGAAGTGCTTGGCTGTGAATTATATGAGCATGTGGACAATTTTGGAATTAACTTGAGATAAATATAAGGGAAGGAGATCTAGACTGTTGAGGATATCAGGTGCTTATTTTCCAGTCCAGGCAGTTAGTATCCCCACCTGACTAACGTGGTCCTCTTCCATCTGACCAGGTGAGTTGTGTTCTCACCTCAAGGCTAGGTTCTGTGAGTACAGACACACAGACGTGGCTTTCAACTTTTCAGCACGTACATTTTAAACTCAAGACGTTGCAGGTTTCTCAGAGAAGTTTGTCAACTTTAAACTTCTCCCTTTATTTTTAGTTATGCATATGGGTGTTTTGCTTGCGTGTCTGTCTCTGTACTATGTGTGTGCCGTACCCAAGGAGGCCAGAAGAGGGCACTGGGTCCTGTGGGACTGGAGTTACAGACGGCTGTGAGCCATATGAGTGCTGGAAATGCAGTCTGGGTCCTCTGGAAGCAGCTGGTGCTTTTAACTGCCTAGCCATCTCTCCAGGCCCCTTTTGTTAAAATTTAAAAATTCTAGATGTTCATGTGATAGAATTTAATCTAATAGCATAATTAAACTTTATGAAGTCATTTTTTATAAATGGGGGTAATATGATCATGTGTATGTCTATGAAAAAGTCATTGAAATGCATTATTATATGCTAATAAAAACTTAACATATAGGTCATTCTAATTAGGCATTGGAAAAGTAGGATAAGGAGCCCAAATATTTGCATATGGTTTAAAAATATTAGCTGACTTCACAAATGAGAGGCCCTGAGGGCTTCCCTGGGTGACATGTGGTGTGTGCACTCACGTGTGACAAGGCATCTCAGGAGAGCACCCACTTACTGTGGCTTGTGCTGGCTGCACTTTCGAGATTCTATCTAGGCCTGCCTTGCCACCCCTTCAGGGCATCAGGAGAGCCTTTGCTGACGACAACATCTCAGGCTCACAGCGTGAAACTCTTAGGTTTTACTGAAGGAGGTTGGTCAGTTCTTGTCAAGTTTAAAGACTAAAATGTTCAGCCCAGGCAAAGTTTCAAAAAGGAACCAGAGTGGGTGACACTTCCCTTCCTGCCTCTGAAAGGTTTAGATCTGCTTATCAAGCATAGTTAGGGCTCCGTCCTGTGGATTTGTCTTGAGCATAAGGTTTCCGTGTATCTGTGAATTACAGCTAGAGGCTTCCAAGTCAAAGAATGGAGTTCTACTAACACTACTTTGAATATATAATTCTAGGCACTTGCTTCTCTGTTGTTCTTCCTTTCTCCTTTTTTTTAAAGGCTCCAGGCTGCCTTCAAACTCATAGCCTCCTGAATGCTTGGTCAGGCTAAGCACCTTGACCAAGACTCAAGGGTTAAGATGATAAGGTGACATTAGACTCTGGATTATTCTTCTTTGTTTGGATTTGTGCTCTGAGGCCCTGTGGTGGGAAGCTTCAGGGAAGAAAAGATTCATAGCACTTCAAAAATACATTTTAAAAAGTATAAAGGCAGAGAATTTGATCAACCACATCATGCAAAAAAACAAAACAAAACAAAAAACCACTAAAAGTCACATTTGTGGTCATGAACAGAGTTACGTGGGGGGAAAGGATAATTAATCATTAGGTAAAACTTCACATGCGTTGCCACCACTCATTAGAAAACAGATTACAAGCATATCCAGGCAGTCCAAAGCCTCAACCCTGCATGCATGTCCTCTGCTTGCTGCCCAAACGTTTGGAAAACCAGTGCGAAATGTGTGAACACTCGAGGAAATTTCCTCATCAAGCTTCAGACTCTACTTCCTTTTCGGGGAAGAAAAGAGAACATGCCACAAACAGACGTGTGGGTGGTAGATGGGATGTTCCCAGCCAGCCAAGGGTGGAAGCTGCATGCTTTCTGTGAAGAGAAAGTGCCTGTGGAGACCAGACCTGACCAGACCATCCCTGACCAGACCAGACCAAACGAGACCATCCCTGACCTGACCAGACTAGACCGTCCCTGACCAGACCAGTCTAGACCATCCCTGACCAGACCAGACCAGACCAGACCAGACCAGACCAGACCAGACCAGACCAGACCAGACCAGACCAGACTAGACCATCCCTGGCCAGACCAGACCAGACCAGACCAGACCAGACCAGACCAGACTAGACCATCCCTGACCAGACCAGACCAGGCCAGACCAGACCAGAACAGAACAAACCAGACCAGACCAGACCAGACCAGACAAGACAAGACCAGACAGAGACTCTAGAAGGAGAGAAAGCTGCAGAGACCATTACAACTAAGTTGCCAAGTGCCTATGGCTTAATCTTTTTGCTCTTTAAATCTAGTTTTCATACACTATTGAAATGAAAGTGTCCCCATGCAAGGATGGCTTCTGGAGAAGTCTTTCCAATATCATGAGTCCTTGTCACTGTGTTGCCTCTGATTACCTCCAGACAGTTTAGCCCCTGGGCAGAGCAGAGATGTAGGTTTCTGCCTTCATGCTATCACTTAAATATTTGGCTTTTTAAGAACAAAATTAGAATGTTTCTGGCAGAGTTTTATTACAGCATTCATCTTTGGAACATTTCATT